TGCAGAAAAGGGAATGAGCTCAGAATTCTAAATCTCTGCAGATGGGTTACTCCGTTTCCAGGACAGGGTGTGTGTCCCAGATGACAGTGAGTTAAAAAAATACATCATGACAAATTCTCATAACTCTAAGCTTGTCACACATCCCAGAAGCACCAAAATGTACCAAAGTATGCGACTCCGGTTTTGGTGGAATGGGATGAAGAGGGACATAACTGACTTTGTATCTAAATGTTTGGTATGTCAGCAGGTCAAGGCAGAGCATCAATGCACAGGTGGGTTACTTCAGCCATTACCGATCCCGGAGTGGAAGTGGGAACATATCGCCATGGACTTCATAACGGGATTACCCAAGGCACGTTCAGGACATGACGCCATCTGGATAATTATTGACCGGCTTACTAAGTCTTTCCACTTTCTAGCCATCAGGATGACCGATCGCTTGGATAAGTTGGCAAGAATGTATATCCGAAAAATAGTCATATTACATGGAGTTCCAGTGACAGTGGTATCTGACAGGGACCCCAGATTCACTTCTCGGTTTTGGAGTAGTTTTCAACAGGTCATGGGAACAAAGCTGTCTCTCAGTACTGCCTTCCATCCTCAGACTGATGGACAATCAGAAAGGACAATCCGTACACTTAAGGATATGCTCTGAGCTTGTGTCCTTAACTCTAGCCAAATCGGAGCCAAACCACCAGCCGATTGGCCGAAAAATACCGCCGAAGTTCAGCGGTGCCGTCGCAGGTTTTCTCGATTTTTACCTCCGATGAGGCCCTTTCCGGTCCCCGTTCGATGTAATTTTTATACCACTGTGACCACCGTCTTTTTCTCTACAGGTTGACCGGAGTAAAACACCAAATCGCAACTCGTGCCGAAGGACCCGCCGTACCCGAGAGCTTGGCTACCGGTAAGTCTCGATTTTCTAGAATTTTTTGACCCACCGAGGGCCCTAGGGGTGTTTTATCACAGGAACCAATGCAAGTTTGGCCGAATTCAGCCAAAACGGCCAGAAACGACCAACCCGAGGCGGATCGCCGCCGTGCCAGAAGTTCAAAATTGGCCGAAAGGGCCTTGGGTCTGATTTGAAATTTTTGGGGACATGTGCAGTATCGGAGTGTGTTTCAGTTTCTGAAAAAAATTAGGATCTAGGGACTGCCCGTAGTGCAGTGAGACCAATTTCATATTCCGAACAAGTATGATCTCTCACCCTATTTTCTATTACGTATTAAAGCTTATAA